AGGACATTTACAAAATATCTTCATGGAACATGATCTTTACTTAATATCCTAATGATTTTTGGCATAAAAGGCATTCATACACAAATGTAGATATGTTTATGAACAAATGCATATGTATATGTATAATATGTTGTTATATTATCTATTTATCATAATATACTTCACATTTTTTCACACACAAATATATAATACATATATTATATATAATATTTAATGTATACAGTGTATGCCTGTTAATGTCTACTGTACGTATGTTTATACCTAAGTATATGTATATGTATACTGTATATACAGCAGTATGCCATGGCACTATCATAATATGTAAACCGAGCATGTGTTGTTTCTCAGAAAGCCTCTGCTCTGCTCTTCTGTCGTTCTGTTAAAGGCAGTCAGAGCAAACATATGCTAATGACCGGACAGTCAATGGAATGAAATGATAATTGATGTAAATTCAGTTTTGCGTTCCGCTCTTTATGGCCCGGAGCATCTCTCGTCTGATTGGCTGATGAATCCTGTGATGCGCTAATGGGCAGTTAGCGCTCGGGCTAATGGACTAGCGATTAGCCTGGCGTGGGAGCGTCACGCGGCGAACCTGAGCGCTGCTACGATCACAACAGTCATCGGGAATGAGAGTCATTGCACCTGCTTAATTACTGTGATAATTGCATGTGGTTTGCTGGGGGCCCTGGGCTCCGGCGGCGTGATGCTAATGTGCCCGGCGCTCTGTCAAACCCTTAATAACACTAATGCTTTCCTGCGCCATTACTAGAGAAACACAGGACCGCACTCGTACCGCATCTAAACAACAACAAACACAGTGTTTATTTAGCTAATGAACTCCTCATCAGTTCAGAAACGAGCTGCATCTGCGCTGACGACCCTTAAATGACACCAAACTCTAGAGATTCACTGAAGACCCTGTTAAATGACTCACATGAACGAATCTCAACACACTGAACACAACAACACAACCAGTGATTGGGAAGACACTAACTTACACTAAAACTAACTGAAATACTTTAAGATTCACTGTAGTGAACCAACTCGTTTTTTTTGTAGTGAATCAGTTCATAATAGTGAACTAATAGTGAATCAGTTCATTATAGTGAATCAGATCATTGTAGTAAATCAGTATATTGTAGTGAATCAGTTCATTGTAGTGAATCAGTTCGTTGTGGTGAATCAGTTCATTGTAGTGAATCAGTATATTGTAGTGAATCATTTAATTATAGTGAATCAGTTCATTGTAGTGAATCAGTTCATTGTAGTGAATCAGCTCGTTGTAGTGAATCAGTTCATTGTAGTGAATCAGTATACTGTAGTGAATCTATTTATTACAGTGAAACAGTTCACTGTAGTGAATCAGTTCGTTGTAGTGAATCAGTTCGTTGTGGTGAATCAGTTCATTGTAGTGAATCAGTATATTGAAGTGAATCATTTCATTATAGTGAATCAGTTCATTGTAGTGAATCAGTATACTGTAGTGAATCAATGTATTACAGTGAAACAGTTCACTGTAGTGAATCAGTTCAATGTAGTACATCAATGTGTTGTGGTGAATCAGTATATTGTAGTGAATCAGTTCATTGTAGTGAATCAGTTTGTTGTGGTGAATCAGTTCATTTGGACTGTGGTGAAGCAGTTCAAATAAATAAGATTCAAAAAAAGATTCACAGATCACTTCATATTCAGAATCACTGATTCATTTAAGGTTCTGCACAACATTTGATCTTTTTGTATCAAATTATTAATGTAAATGGTTTCATCAGTTGTATTTAATGTAAATGTAGCAGTACAGGTATAATGTTAAGTATTGTAAGTCACTTCGGATAAAAGTATCTGCTAAATGCATAAATATAAATGTAATATTGTCACCTCACATTTTCATTGTTTTTGTACCAAATACAGTACACTCTGATCTGATTATATTATCTATAATATTGTAGGTACGTAACTAAAAAGAAAATGTCACTTTAGTTTAGCTTAAAGTGAATAGATTCAACAGCAGCTTTTTTTTGTTAGTATCTTAGAGTATAGATCAAGGGTTTTCAATATTTTAGATGAGCACTGACTCCCATACTAAAAATAAAATAAATAAATAAAAAAGAAAGAAATATATAAATAAATAAATACATAAATATTTTATGAATAAAACCCCAAATTATACTGTGAAAAATTAATGTTAAAAATGTGGAAAATATAATGTTTCACTTCTACTCATTATAGTACTGTACTGTTAGATGTATAATTTCTTTGTTTGATTATTTAATCTTTTTTTAATTTTAATCAAATGATTCATTCATTTAAAACAATTATTTTGTAAAATATTTAGGGTTTTTTATGTTGTCAACTCACTATAGCACTGTACTGTAAAGAAATCTAAACATTTTTGTTACTTGTAATGAAATAATTGTTAACTGAAATCAAATAAAATGTTAAGCTTATTTTATTTCAGCTAAACTTATTTTATTAAAAGTTGAAGTTTTAAAATAACTAAAATTAAAGTAGAATTAATAAACAAAAATTAATAAACAACACGCAACAAAATTACTAAAACTTTATCTGAAATAAAAAATGAAATAAAATTAATTTTTAAGCTTATTTTATTTCAGCTAAACCTTTATTATATTCAATTTTATTATAAGTTAAATTACTAAAATAACTAAAACTGAATAAAGTAGAACTAATAAATAAAAATTAAAAAACAACACGCAACAAAATTACTAAAACTTTAGCTGAAATTAGAAATGAAATAAAATAAAACTTTAAGCTTATTTTATTTCAGTTAAACCTTTATTGCATTAAATTTTATTACAAGTTAAATTACTAAACTAACTAAAACTAAATAAAGTAGAACTAATAAATAAAAATGAATAAACAACACGCAACAAAATTAATCAAACTTTAGCTGAAATTAAAAATGAAATAAAATAAAAATTAATTAAAAATGTAACTAAATTAAAAATAAATACAATTAAATTAAATAAAATGTAAAAAACTACAAAAGTATCTAAAAGAACACTGGTATGGGAAACTAGAGAAACTTGACTGTAGTTTAACAGCTTTCAGTGCAGCTTCTCCATCACTGGTTGTCAAATAAATCAGCTGTAATCTAGTAAAGCGAGAGTTTTTCACCTGCGCACTTGGTGCGGGCCCTGAGCGGGGGCCCTGGGGCCCCGGTGCCGCCCTCGTTGGGTCTGGTGAGCAGCACGCTGATCTCGTACTCGGTGTCGGGGTCCAGGTGGCCGATCTTGTGGTTGGGTTTGTCGACCGGCTGGCTGTCGATCAGGCTTCCGGAAAGCGTGCGGTACTCCACCTCCTTCTCCACGATCGGCCCGTCGCCGTTGATGGAGTTTGCGTTGAGCTGGATCCACAGGTAGGTGGCGCCGACCGCCGTCAGCTGAGGAGGAGCGATGGGGATCGGAGGCTCTGAGAGAGTGACAATATTCATATTATGACAACATTTTCAACCGTCATATCTGTAATATTTGACCCTGGAGCACAAAACCAGTCATAAGGGTCAATTTTTTGAAATTTCCATTGATGTATGGTTTGTTAGGAT